GACTATGACTCTGGAGACCAGGGTTCGATTCCACGCTCAGCCATGGAAACTCACTGGGCGACCTTGGACAAGTCACACTCTCTCAGCCTTAGAGGATGGCCATGGCAAACCCCAATCGGAAGAGACCTGCCATAGGAAAATCCTATGATAAGGTTCCCGTAAGTCGGAAATGACTTGAAGGCACACAATAACAACAACAACAACGCAAATTGGCAAAATCAAGCTTTGCTTTTTTGGAATTTATTTATTTTTTAATATTTTCAAGCCACGGATGGTTGAATCCGTGGGTGCAGAATCTGTGGATATGGAGGGCCAACTGTATTGAATATATTGATCAGCTCAGCTGGCCTATTTTTGGAGCCCCCCCCCCCAAAAAAATGATCAGGAACTAGAGACCAGATTTTTGTGTAGCTGAATTACCAATCTGAAATGTTCTAGGTTATAGCCATTTTTGCATTTGCTTAACAAGGTCTTAGATATATCCCCCTTTCCTTGTTCGGTTTATTTTGTGCTTTAAACAATTGTACAAAGTTTCATTGATTGTTTGGTTATTGTCTCCAGAGTAGTCACATTGTTAACTGCGATAGGCAGTGGTAGCTTATTATTATTATACTTATTATTGACAGTGTTTGTTACTGTTTTGCAGAAATGAAGAAACATAGGACCTGATCACACAGAGGCAAATTGCTTAAATCCTGGGCAGAAATGGGATTTAAAAATGTGGGAAAAAAACCCACAAAAGCAGGTTGTTTTTTAGACATGTTTGTGTAAAGAAGAAATAACACAACATTAATCTGAACGGAAAGTCACCAAAACCCGCTCCTTTTTACTTTTGGAAGCTCCTGAAAGTAAAAAGCAGCAGGTTTTGGTGACTTTCCCTTCGGAATAATGTTGCGTTATTTCTCCTTGATGCCAACATCATCTGAAATACAACCTGCTTTTGCAGGTTATTTCTACTTTATTTTTGGGTTAACCCTGAATGTTGCGTGAAAAACAACCCACTTTTGGGGATTGTTTTCACTTTAAATACAATTTTGCACAGGATCTGTCCTGTGTGATAAACGCCATACTTGGCAAGTATGCAAAATCCATCATGGCTTGCCTGCCAGTCCTAAATTGCTCCTCCAACCTTTAAAATAGTGGAGGAAAAAAAATGACATGTGCCTACCTAAATGCCCCTTCCTGAACTCAGCACCTTCAAGATGGGTTGGACTACAGCTCTCACCATCCCCAACATATGTGAGCATGCTAGTTGGGGATGGTGGGAGTTGTAGTCCAGCACATTTTGAGACTGGTGAGTGGAGAAGATATATTTTTTGTTCAGCAAGGAAATGCCAGCACTACTGCCACTGCTAGCAAGGATGGTCTCAGAGTATTTGATGGTGCAAATGTGTCTTCTGGTCCAGATTATTTTGCAGGACGTGTCCAATCTGGAGCAAGAACTGCTCGCTATAGAAGGCAAGGTGCGCGAGCTGGAACGCGGTAAAAAAGAAAGGAAGATATACATGGACAACTGCACCATTGTCTTCCACGTCCAAGACTTCGAGAAGGGAGTTAGGAACGACACAAAGGTCCTCCAGGATTTCTTAGAGGTCCTGAGATACAAATCAAAAGTGAGTCCTCTTTTAAGTTGTTATTTTGGGGGCATCATGAGAAACGTAGCAAATACAATGGTATTGAAAGATGCCGAGAGGTTTGATGGGAATGCAATTTCAGTGCCTGGTAAAGGTTGCCGGCCAAAGCAGCTGGTCTCTGTACCAAAACCAAG